AGATATGGTTGTGGTGCTTCCAGCACGCTCGTCCAGAATTAATGTGATGGCTGCTAAGAATGCAGGCGTTGAGTTTCGTCCCTGCAGATACTCTTGGATTTGTTCGGTCCACTGAACTGCGTAATCTGTTTCTAGCAAGCTAATCGTTTTCCCATTGTCATTAACCTAAAAAAAAATGTTACAAGTACTACTCGAACAGCAAAATATGAAAAATTTCAATCTAACAAATTAATTTAGAAGAGCTTAAGCGATTACCAAAGAAATGGCACAAATACATAGTATAGAGGACAAGTGCCAACTGAAGACACCGATATTAAACTCCGTTTAATTTTAACTACCTTATTTTGTTACTACAATCGTCGTACTGACGCCAATTGTGGTAACGGTAAGAAATATATACGACTTAATGGGCCGAAACATTTCTTTAAAATTATTAATAATTCTCTCCTCTTTCTTTTTTTTTTTGTTTGTGCATTACTCTCAATTTTAAATAAGAACAAAACAGCTTAGCAATACAACACTACCTAGTGTGAGGTGCTACTCTGCGACAGTGGTTCTTCAAACTAATATTACAAGATAAAGCTTTTTTTGATACCCTGAAAATGAAATAATTGCCAGGATCGAAGATACTTTCCACTTGCACCGTGTCATCGCCTTTCATTTTGATCTGCAGACCTGAGAGTGCTGTCACGCATGCACGATACTTCTTCACCAAATCACTGTGTATCTTCACCACTCGGTCTTTCTCCTTTTCAGCTTTAAGCAACTGATATTGTAGCTCTGAAGTTTTATTTATGTCCATGAGCTGTGTTAATATAAGAGTAATTATAAGATAAAAAAGAGTTGGCCATATTGCAGTATCAACTCACGAATTCTACCTCGGTCCTTTAGCACAGGCATGTGCGTCCTTGGTGACATGCTGGCCTGATTTACATACTTACTTAAGCTCACGGGCCATCTTTTAATAAAATCCAGGTAGCAACGCACTAGGCTTATTCGTGCGGTTATGCATTTTTGCGCTAAACTTGACGCAATCAAATCGTTAGCAGTATGAATGGTTGTTGCTTGACAGTTTAAGATGTGCAACTCATGTGCCTCATGTGTCTTGACTTTCTCCTGTATGCGAGGTAAAAAGGCGCCGGCTGGGACGGTAGTGTTGCATCATGGCCCTCCTGCTGCTGAGTTGCAAGTGAGTGACAAAGATAATGTGAGCTCTGGGCTTGAACTTTTGATACAAGATTGTTGAAATTTGGATTTATATCACTGACATAGAGTCTCAAAGTATTTCCCACACTGTCATCTGTTAGCCTCGTGCATATTTCAGTTTTATTTATTTTATGAGTGCAGAGACATGGCGCAGCACAAACACCCGTTCGTCTAGTTAGGCACCACATTCCGATTCCCTCCGCGACCGGACTGAAATGGTCATAGGGTGGATCCGACGTGCAGACCGCCGGTTACCCATCCGTGCTTTAACAGTTCTAATTTTCTGAACTGTTAAAGCAACAGAAAACATCATAAAGCTGTTGATGCAGCTGGCAGTTTTTCTGAATTTAAGCAAGCAGATAAAGCTTACCGGTTATTTGTTTAGTCATGTCAAAACGCTCCCTCTTTCGCAAACTAACGTCCAAATTATCATCACATTCATATACGTTCTAAAACAAGAAAGCAAGAAGTTTTGACACAAGAATATTGAAACCTCCATCAGAAAGCAAAATTATAAAGTGCTATTTTTGCTGCCACCTTAACTTGCAGAAAACGTTTCGCAGTCAAACAGTTTTCTTCTCGCTAATATTTCCCGGGGTAGTGCACAACTAAAGGACCATGAAGGCAGCTTCTAATATGACTTCAAGTATCCCACACCCATTTCTCTCGGGAATTCCTACTTGAAAAGTTTTTGGCGCATCATTTCCAGCTGGTGACGCGAAAATACAGGAGAATCAGTGACTGATGAGTCCATAAGACTCAAAAAAATTCGATCCCTCGTCGAAAGGAAAGTAAAGAAAAACAAAGAAATGAATGTCAGGATCGCTAGAAAAACGATCATTATTCAGTGCATTCGCAGAAGCCGGGTAAAAAAAAAGTAAACTATGCAGATGCTGTGAAGATATGCTGCGATGAAACGACAGTCAACACAATATCAGAATATGCTGCGGTAACAAGGAAAAAAAATTATCACAAAAATAATCCGTTTAAAAAAATACCGCTTTTCTTTTTCTGCTTCCTTGAAACTCATTATATTCCTGATGCGCAAGATCCAAAGGATTCATCCGAAGATGCAAAATTTTGACAGATGACTCCACTTCCTAAATTTTGGGTAATTTTTGATTATACAGATTTCTGAGCAAAAACAGACCTATAAAAATATTAAAATATAAGACGATTACACATTCACAATGTATTATCATACTTCATAATGTGCTTTTAAACAAACGCCCTACCCCTCCCCCTCCCCCTCCCCCTCCTCCTCTCCCGAAAATTCAGTTTCAGGTGAAAATTGTTACTTAGAGTTTGGTAATAAATAAATTATTAGCAGGAAGCAACAAAAATAACGCGTAAGAATTAAGGTGGATAACGATATCCGGGGCTAACAAGTCCGTTAAATTGGTCAGTTGATTACTGTTCCCTGACTCAACCTTACAGTAAGATCCCGCCCCGAGAAGCGAAATTTATCACCTAATTATAAATTTCGAAGGCAACTTTGTATACGCATATGCCAGGAAGTCAGGATCGCTTTCAAGCCTCCTAATCAATACTGAGGAGAGGATTTTATCCATTGCATTTCAGCTACTGAAATACAATCACTCAAGCTAATTCCGAATGCTTCTGCTTCTTATAAAAAGTGGAATATAAAAGAATTTTAGGACATTGCAGGGGATTCTTTTTCAGTTCACTTACTTCATTTTCGATATTTTTTGACATTGCTTCATCATCACCAGCACCATCATCACCACTGACTGTAGGCGCATCCTTATATCCGGCGACTTTAAGCTGCTCTTTCGCGGTTTCAAGATTTGCTGCCCTAAAAAATCTTGATGAAAAAAAAATTCAAAAATGTACTTATTCAGGAAGCAAGATATTTGTATAATCAAAAAAAAGAGGTATGTACGGGATAAATACAAAAACGTGTTTTTTTCACTTACAAAACTTTGTTGGTTTCTAATTGATTGTTCAAAAGCTTCGTTTTCATATCTAACTCGGCT